ATACATACATACATACATACATACATACATACATACATACATACATACATACATACATACATACATACATACATACATACATACATACATACATACATACATACATACATACATACATACATACATACATACATACATACATACATACATACATACATACATACATACATACATACATACATACATACATACATACATACATACATACATACATACATACATACATACATACATACATACATACATACATACATACATACATACATACATACATACATACATACATACATACATACATACATACATACATACATACATACATACATACATACATACATACATACATACATACATACATACATACATACATACATACATACATACATACATACATACATACATACATACATACATACATACATACATATATATCCGGCATCATGGTGAGTAAACAGAATTTAACGATTAACGAAGTTTTGTGCTATTTATTTAATAATTACGAGTTTTTGAACAACGATATATTTATTAACAATGCGTCCGACTTCTATAGCTCGGAAGAAATCTCGGCTGCCCTCAAACAGATCAAACACGACATCAATCTCCTAAAGATTGATGTTAATTTCGATACACCACGTGGTCCTAAAAAGAAAGAAAAAAGAGACAAACTACGCGAGACCTTTCGCTACTTAGGGCTAGACCGCGAAAAAAAATTATCAACAGAGCTTCCTACATACGTTAGCTCTAACTTACGAGTACCTAATAACGACTCTATTCTTAAATTTAACTTCAATGAAATCAAAAACGACATATGCAATATGCTGCACAATCAGCAACTCTATCTATGCAGCATGCTGAACGCAGCCCCTCGAGTTCATAAAAGTGAACTTAATACCAACAACACCAACGTAAACAATGTTAAAAGCTACTCGGTAGCAGCAGGACAAAAACACGCCTCGTACAGCTCGGATGCATCATCTCCCAAGATCGTTCATCCAGCTTCGTCCATAATCAGCACACCACCATCTGATGAAACCTCGAAGCAGGGAACCCAATCGCTGGTGGATCTCAACGTTGTAGCTGCTCCTGCTCATTCTTCACTTTCAACTCCTAACAATAACATCAATAAAAACAACTCTAATTCCAGTAGCCACGAAGGCTCTTGGAGCACTGTTACTTCAAAAAAAGAGAGAAAACACACTCCAATTACTGTAGGTTCCAAACAACCTGGGTCCTTCAAATTATCTGCAGCTCCTTTGCCTCCCAAAAAAATTGTTTTTGGGGTAGGTAAATTGAAAAGCTGCGTCAAAGAAGAGATCCTTGAACATCTGGAAACTATTGGACTGACCGCTGCAGAATGCGTACCAGTCTTTAAATTCTCTCCCACTCGTCCTCAACCTTCAACCAGTGATCCATCAACAAAATTCCGCATAACTATTTTTAAACATCAGGAGATGATTTTTACCAATCCTGAAAATTGGCCTATCGGCGTGGAAATTCACCCTTGGTTGTTTCATGCTCGACCACAGCATTTGATAAAACCCACTACAACTTCACTACCAAATCATTATCCTGTCGACCTACCAAATGTTAATACACCATCGCTGGTCAACTCACATCAGCATGTAGAAAACACAGTTGAGGTAGCTTCCATTTTAACTTCTTCGAAAGAATCCACTCAGCCAGTCGAGTCAGTCACGATGGGCCCTTCTCAGCTGGTCGAACCACATAAACAACAACAAGCCTCATCGATGATGAGTCCTCCCTCCGATGTCAATTCTGCGACATCAATAAATCCCGACAATGGCTGTTAACAATACTTATTTCACAATCAATTCTATTCAACAACATCCTCAACCATCAAACAACGACGAAGATGATCAACACTTTAACGCATACAATACACACATCGACCCCACAAAGAACCTCCTAGATTCATTCACCAGACAGTCATCCTACTACACCACAAGAGATCTACTCAACATTCTAGAAGCCAAGTACATCAACAATCATGATCGCCCTCTACCTCTACTTCACATAAACAGCAGAAGTCTTTTAAATAAAACTTCTGACATTTTAATTTTAAATAAATTTTTATCTTATTTTTTTCCCATTATTATTATTTCAGAGACATGGCTGAATGACGAAACCGCTAAACTAGTTCGTATGAATGATTACAATTTTGTTTTTAAAAATAGGTCTGACAGAATAGGTGGTGGAGTCGGAATCTTCATCAGATCAGGCATTGAATTTTCTATGATAAACAATTTGCTTCTGAACGACACCATTATTGACCTTCTTGGTGTCAATTTACAATTAAACAACACACACGTAAATATTTTAGCAGTATATAGACCCCACAACACTGACCCTAATATCTTAATCCAAAAGCTCGAACTTATTTTACCCACATTCAAGCCACACATAAAGAGCTATTTAATTGGCGACTTTAACCTTGACCTCAATAAACTCAACAGTGACAACGTCGTTGCTGACTTCTCTAACCTACTATCATCATACAACTTCTTATCTCTTATAACCTCCTCTACTCGCATCTCAACTTCTTCTTGCTCACTCATCGACAATATCTTTACTAACAACCTAACTTCTCACTTATCTGGAATAATTCTGTCTGACATATCTGACCATTTCCCTATATTCGCCATCGCTTCCAAATCAGAAATCTCAAACCATGCCCCTATTAAGCACTTCAGAAACCTAACTGAAGAATCTATAAACAACATCAACAATTTCTTATCGAACTACAACTGGAATTCTTTGACTTCTCTAAAAAATGTCAACGACTGCTGCTCTGTTTTGAATACTATCTTAACTCGCTCTCTAGACACTTTTGCCCCCCTCCGTCCTGTCAAAAACAAAAAAAATGCTGGATCAATGACAACATTCTAAGTCTTGCAAAAAAAAAAAAAAAAAACTATACATCATAAGCCTTAAATATCCAACCACCCGCAACATTGCCACCTACAAAAGCTTCAGAAACATGTTCACATCTATTAAACGAAAAACTGAACGAGACTACTTCTCTAACAAACTTGAAGACGCACATAACAATGTTGGACAAAAATGGAACGCTATCAAAAAAATTCTAAACTAGCAACCTCCTAACTCATCAATCACCAAACTAACTATAAACAACCAAGCAATTGAAAATAAACAAGAAATTTGTGACCTTCTCAACACCCACTTTGCAAACATCGCTAGTCAACTACTCGCAAACCAACCTCCCAGTACTATCTACTATCAAACCAATACTAGTACTATCAAACCAATACTATCTGCAATAACCAATACGGATTCAGACCCAACCAATCAACTGAGCTTGCTATTCTTGACTTCACTCAGCATATACTAAATGAAATGAATAACAAAAATCTTTCTATTGGCATTTTCATGGACTTATCCAAAGCCTTCGATGTCATCGATCACAAAATACTCCTATCCAAACTACATCATTACGGAGTAAGAGGCACAGCTCACAACTGGATGAGAAGCTATCTTTCATCACGGACACAATATGTTTCTATGGACAACATCAATTCAAAGCACGCTTTTATTCATCACAGGGTGCCACAAGGATCCATACTAGGACCCCTTCTATTTTCTATCTACATAAATGACCAATAATTGGCATTTTCATGGACTTATCCAAAGCCTTCGATGTCATCGATCACAAAATACTCCTATCCAAACTACATCATTACGGAGTAAGAGGCACAGCTCACAACTGGATGAGAAGCTATCTTTCATCACGGACACAATATGTTTCTATGGACAACATCAATTCAAAGCACGCTCTTATTCATCACAGGGTGCCACAAGGATCCATACTAGGACCCCTTCTATTTTCTATCTACATAAATGACCTCTGCAATGTTTCGCCCTCAACCAAATGCGTACTGTTCGCAGACGACACCAACCTTCTTTTTACTTTCAACAACCTACCAGATTGCTCTGAACATATCAATCTTGAACTCCGAAAATACTCTAACTGGTTATCCAATAACAAACTAATCATAAATTATTCGAAATGTGCATACATTATTTTTGGCCCAAAAATACTCCCCAACCAAGCTCCTAACCTAAACCTATTAGTTAATGGTGTTCCTATAAGCCGCACCCTATAAGTCTACCAAATTTCTTGGAATCACCATCACAGAAAATCTTTCATGGAATTCTCACCTACAAACTACCTCAGACAAAATCAACAAACTCACAGGCATCTTCTACAAAATCAAATATAAACTCTCTCTTTCTGCTCTTCGAACGCTTTATTACACATTCATCTACCATTATCTAACCTACTGCATTACACTATGGGGAAATAGTCCAAAAAGCCACCTGAATAACGTAATACTTTCCCAAAAAAGATCAATACGTTTAATTTTTAACCTCAAACCCAATTCTCATACTAAACCCTTCTTCCTAGCAAAAAAATTTTACCACTTAACTTCATCTGTCTTTACTACTCTGCTTTATTCGTTTTTAAATTTATCAACAATCTTCTCCCACCTCAGTTTATCAACTTCTACACATTAAGTAACTCCGTTCAATCTACAACCACTAGACACACCCCTCTCTTCTATATCTACAAAACTCGCCTCAAATTAATCCAGACAAGCATAAAAATAACAGGTCCTAAAATTTGGACAGAACTTGTACCTCCCCATCTAAGAGCCATCATAAACCTACAACATTTCAAGTCAAAATTCCGTGCTTTTTTATTGACACTGAATCTCGACTCCACCACCTAATATCATATTAAGAATACGTTAGAACAAATGATGCGGATGAATGGTCTTTATGAATGGTTAAACATTTATGTGTTTATATATGTACAGAGCGAACATTTACATAGTTATATGTCTATATATGTATGACACGAACATTTACTTATTTATCTTCAATTATCTTTCTGCTTCAGTTATTTTCCTTATTTTATTTCATTAACTATTCATGTATCTACCTGCGGTGGCCACCACAAGACAAACAGTCTTATTCGGTCTCCGCATATTCAACTTCATAACTTTTATTCACTTATTTGATATGTTGTTGATTATGAATAAAACTTTGAAAATGAAATGAAAATGAAATACATACAAAACAAACAATAAACGATATGTGTGTGTGTGTGTGTTGTGTGTGTGTGAAAATATGTTCCGCGTTATTGATGAAAATCACATGCAATGATTTTCATCAATAATTGCATTTCTGACAGTTTTAATCCAATATATATATATATATATATATATATATATATATATATATATATATATATACTATATATGTATATACATGTAGTATATATGTACACACACATATTGAATGTATGTGTGTATTTATCTGTATGTAGGGTATATATGCCAGCATAAGCCCATGTTTAGATTGTAATCAAGTTATTTTATAGCTGAAGCATACATGGCTTGATGACATTTGTTTCTGTCGTTAACTTTCCGGCAGATAAAATGACAACAACAACAACAGCGGCAATAACAACAGCATTAGTAACAACAATGACATTAAAAACAACATTAATAAGAAACAAAAGAAAACATCTATGCAGAAAATTTACATTTAGAATATTAGAGCTTGGCGATAATAAAAAAAAAAAATAAAAATAAGTTCTGGCGAATTGTGAATGACATTTTTGCATCGTCTTCATCACGTGCATCACAAACATAACGGCCATCACCATCATTACAAAACTCTCACTCCTATCAACGATGATTCCCAATGTGAATGAAATAACATGCATTTTGAACTAGCAACACGATCTTCACACACACACACACTTAATCATCAAAACAAACAAATGACGACTAACTTTTTATATCTGTTCAGCTTCAGTGTATACTTGGTGTCGTTGGAACCCTTGGTAACTGGCACGCTCTCTAGGTTGGCCATAAGCATGGCCACTGCGGTCCTCAACTCCTCCACGTACAACGTGTCCATCTCTTTCACCACGAATCGTGGCAGGGCCCTACGTCTCTGATGGGCGCGTGAATAAAACGCTTTTGAAGTGTGGTGTGGTTGATCTCGGTCGGTTGTTTGGTTGGTTGGTTTTCATATATGTGTGTGTGTGTGTGTGTTAAAGGTTAATGGTTAAAGGTTTCTCTCTCTCTTTTGCGTTTGCTTCAGAGGTTTCAACGACAAACACACACAGCGTACATGAATACGCGTGCAAACCACGCATCATACACATTGCATATGATAGGCGGGGATCTCTTTCTATTCAAACCCAGTCATTGCAATAGCAAGACCAGTGTGTGTGTGTGTGTGTGTGTGTATGTGTGTGTGTGTGTGTGTGTGTGTGTGCGCGCGTGTGTGTACATCATTTAAATTTTTAGCCTCTGCTTGACGAAAATACTTTAATGACAAAACTCTATATACACCACAAATTCTGTCACCACTGCTATTATTATTATTATTATTATTATTATTATTATTATTATTATTATTATTATTATCATTCACGATAGGATATAAACAACAAAAATAATTGAAAAATAAATAAATAATAATAATAATATACAGAAAAAAAAAATCAAATAATAAAAAAATTCTAACAGGCAGGCAGAAAAGTAATTAGAAACCAAAACAGCCATAAATCAAAATCAAGAAAAAAGAAAAGAGAAATGATAAAGAGCGACAGAGAGAGAGAGAGAGAGAGAGAGAAAAGAAGAGAGAGAGAAAGAGAGAAAGAGAGAGAGAAAAATAGGGAGAGAAGAGAGAAAAAGAGAGAAAATGATAAAATGAGAGAAGAAATAGAGTACTAGATAGAGTGCAGTACAGTGAAGAGTGGCAGACAGATGAGTAATTAATGTGATGGGGTGTGATGTGGTGAACCTAAATCACATCATATTTTTGATGCAATGATGCATATTGCTGTTGTAGTTGGTTGGCTAGCTGGCTGACTGGTTGGTTGGTTTGATGGGGTTGATTATTTGGCTGATTAATTGGCTGGTTGGCTGATTGGTTGGTTGGATGGGATTGATTGTTAGGCTGATTGGTAAGTTGGTTGATTGGCTGGTAAGATGGGGTTGATTGTCAGGCTGATTGGTTGGTTGGTTGGTTGGCTGGTTACACTAACAGAAGCACTGCCTGGTTCAAAGAGCCATTACCCTTCCATATTATTCCAAGCCGGAATTATATTTGTAAACGAGTGAAATAGTTAATTAACTGGATTTATGAAAACATAAATTAAAAAAGAAAACTAATATTTGTTTTTAACTTTTAATCATAAAGAATCAGTAATTCTAACAAAGTTTTGTCGAAAAAAAATAAATTTCATTATAGAACGCAGTTGCAATGAAAAATGTATAAATGAAATACGATTACAGTGCATTAAGGAGAGTAATGAATGTTCATAAAAACACATTAGAACAATCAAAACAAAACAAAGTCTGCTCGATAAAAGTGCATGCAACTATGAAAGACAATCAATAATGTAATAATGATAAATACCAAGCAGGACATAACTAACTAACGACATCAACAATAATAATAAGAAGTGCAACATAAACAACATGTCATTTATTCATTTGTCCATTCATTCAGTCATTTGTCCATTCATTCATTCATTTGTCCATTCATTAATTCATTTGTCCATTCATTCATTCATTTGTCCATTCATTTATTCATTCATCCATCCATTCATTTATTCGTTCGTTCGTTCATTCATTCATATATCCATTCATTCATTCATTCATTCATTCATTCATTCATTCATTCATTCATTCATTCATTCATTCATTCATTCATTCATTCATTCATTCATTCATTCATTCATTCATTCATTCATTCATTCGTTCATTCATTCATTCATTTGTCCATTCATTAATTCATCCATTCATCCATTCATTCATCCATCCATCCATCCATTCATTCATTCATATATCCATTCATTCATTCATTCATTCATTCATTCATTCATTCATTCATTCATTCATTCATTCATATATCCATTCATTCATTCATTCATTCATTTATTCATTCATTCATCCATTCATTCATTCATTCATATATCCATTCATTCATTCATTCATTCATTCGTTCATTCATTCAATCATTCATTCATTCATTCATTCATCCATCCATCCATTCATTCATTCATTCATTCGTATATTATCTAGACCAAACATAATCATATATTATTGTCACTAGCAAAAAAATGAAATTAACAAGAACGCAAAATGCCAAACGCAAAGAAACTTCACGCAATGATTATCATTCCATTTAATTGAACTGAAAAAAATGATGTTTAAAAATCAAATAAATAATTTCCCTATGAATGAATGAATGAATGAATGAACGAGTGAATGAATGAATGAGCAAATGAATGAATGAATGTTTCAGCAAAAAAATTCAAACGCGAGAAATCCTTCAAGTTATCAAAATGTAATAAAAACTTGAAGAAAAAAACCGGACCAAAGAAGATAATGCCTATCATTGAAGGATAAAAATGCTACTGCTATCTAAACATGCCATTAAGATGTATGAGTGAATGAATGAATGAATGAATGAATATATGCAAATTTGCATATATCAGCTACGCCGACTAACCTACTCAATGTATGTATGTATATATATGTAAGTATATGTATGTATGTATGTATATGTATGTATGTATATGTATGTATGTAACTGTATGTATATGTATGTATGTATATGATGCATGTATGTATATATATATATATATATATATATATATATATATGTATGTGTATGTATGTATATGTATGTATGTATGTACATGTTTGTGTCCAAAAGAGCCATGGTATGATCCCAGAAAAAGAGAGCAACTAATAGCGGTGAAAAATGCGTGCCAACCACGCAAACGCAAGAGAATCACGCACGCACATTGCAATCATCATTGCTAGTCCAGAACTAAAGTAGTAATAATACAACACTGCATGCATCTATATATCTATATATCTAATCATCGTTACTAATGATAATGATGATGATGACAGGAATGACGATGAAGTTGATAACAGAAATGGTGATAATGATGATAGCAGAAAGAGTGTGTCATAGCCCTATAAAACGTTTAGCTCTGATGATGACGCGTTTTCATCAGTCATTTTTTTTCATTAAAAAAAAATCAGAATTGTTAATACCGACATATCATCGCAGAGCGCTTGTTGTTGTGTTATTAAATTCTGTAGCAAATGGGTGCTCATTTTACTATCCTCTGACCACCATCATAATCATCAAAGAATAATCCCAAAAATTTCAATAATCATCATTCTAATCACCGCCCCCTAATCCACCATCACCATAATCATCATTATCACCATTACCACTCTAACCCACCATCATCAATATCCTCATTATCACCACCGTCCTAACTAACTCACCATCACCATAATCATAATCACGTGATCAAGTAACTCACCTTTACGAGCTCCTCTGCAGCGTGCAGTCTGCCATCTAGCTCTCGCCTCACTTGGGCGGCTTGTTCGTCCACGTTGTCCAGCTGTGACGGTTGAAATTATTTTCCACTTTTATCATTCATCAAAAAATTGTCAATGGCGGTAGATTTAGTATAGCGAAATCCTTGAAAAACAACATTAAAGTAGAAGTATGCTACAATATTATTTGATGTTATTCATGCCATTACGTGCTGTTCAGATTTTAGGAATTGATGTCTATGAGGCAGTTTCATATCAACTGCAGAATGCTGCGTTGTTCAGCTGTAAACATACGCACGATAGCCTGCAACGTGACGCCGATAACGTAACGACAAAATTACGAAGATAGAAACATTTCAACAGCAAACAACACACAAATAAAAATAAATCCAGAAACAAAATGAAGAAAACAATCCAGAAACAACAAAAACAAGCTAAACATTGTCACCAATATAATAACAGCAGCAACAACACTGGAACAACAACAATTAAAACAACAATTACGGAACACAAAACAACAAAAACAAACACTACATCATGATGTTGGCCACTACAGCCAAGACATTATCACATAAACGCACGCACGCACACAACACACACTCACGCATACACACACACGCACGCATACAAACAAACAGAAACAAACAAACAACAGAAGTTGCATTCAAATATTATTAAATTCAGACAACCAATGTTAACTTCAGCAACAGAACATACACTATGCACACAGTTCATTCTGTATATGTTGGCTAGGGCCACACACACACACGTATAACAGTGCAGTACACAGGGACACAGAGCAGAGGCATACACTTAAATTTTTACACACACACACACACACACACACACACACACACACACACACACACACACACACGCATACATGTATGCAACAATCCAAAAACAAAAGAGATAGAAAGAAAATACGAGGAAGAGAGAAAAAGAGAAAGAGGGAGCAAAAAGAATAAAGAGATAGAAAGAACGTGAAAAAAGGAGTCTCATCATTATGGAAAGTTATATCACCACGACAAGCAGCTACAACAAAGCAAGCTTAAACATCCAGGTGACAACAGTGATTAAAAATCATTATATCTGCTGTCATCACAATGATGGTGATAACAACTGCCAGAAAAAAATAATAAAAATGATTACACACATGATTATAATGATTCTGATGAAAATTATGATAATACTAACAATAATAATAATTGTAATTATTATTATTATATAAATTACGATGATGACGTAATTATGGTGATGATGATCGTGATAGAATGGCGACCACCCAGTACCTAAGGTAGAGGGGTCTGCAGATGTGTGCCAGTTTGCATTATTCATCATCAACTGGTCATTTCGTTTTTCATATTTCATCAACATTTATCTCTCTCTCTCTCTCTCTCTCTCTCTCTCTCTCTCTCTCTCTCTCTCTCTCTCTCTCTCTTGTGTTTTTTACGTTTTTTCCACAAAAAATACACAAAATAGACTATTCAATATTGTTGTTTGTCTAGTTAAATCTAGAATATTTTTTCGAGTTAAAAATTAATGTTACGCCTATGGTGGCTTTGAAATGCTATTTATATTCAAAGAAACTTTAAAATAAAAACACAGTAAAATTAAATAAATAAAAATAAAGATATAACAATAAAAACAAAAACAACAACAACAATGATATAACAACAACAACAACAGCAACAACAATGATATAACAACACTAATAACAAGATCAAAAATGACAACGGCGACGATGATGATGTTTATAGATTCAAACATCGTCATGACATTATTACTAATAATCAATAAACAGAATGCAAAAATAAAACAAACTAAAATCAACAACAAAAATAATTATAACAACAAAAACAACAACTATAATAATAATAACAATATTAAGAAAAACAAAAACATTTAAAAAATCATGAACAGAATGGCAACAAAAAATATAACGAAAAGCAATTTTAAAAATTTTACGTGTTGCCTAACAACCATGATGATGATGATGATGATGAAGAGGACGACGACGATGACTGATAATGACTGTGATAATGATACTAGTGAAGATGATGATGATGGCGATGATAGTGACAATTAACCAAAATAAATTGCTCAAAAATTCTATGGCAAATAACTAAAAATAAATTATAGAAGAAAAAGAAGAAATATAATATAAAAATACATATCATTTATGGATATATTAATATATTTTATTCAGTTAATATTATATATAAATAAAATATTAATATAAATATGAAACAAAAGATATGAAAGGAAAAATGAATTGTGTACACGCATGCATAAAAAATATTTATCCTGCTCTGCAAACATACATCCCAATTCTGAAAAAAGATTCAAGAAATGAATACAACAACTACAATAAAAAAAATTAACCAACAATCGAACAAACAAAAAGATAAACAACCAAACGAACAATTAAATAAACAAACAGATAAATAAACAATACACACATAAGTAAAATGAAATGAAGTAAAAGTTAATAAAATTCCATAAAGATGAAAATATTGCAGACAGACGACAGATATAAAGATGAGCAAGGCAGACACTAATAAATATTTTATAGCTATTTTTATGATTTGGAATTTAAAATATTCATACATTGCTGGGCACCAGTCAAAAACAGTCTGACATTAACAGAAAAATACACACATACGCACAAACAAAGACACACACACACACACACGAACATACAAACAAACAAAAACGCAAATCAAACATAGACATAAACAAACAGGCACACAAAACAAACATACACATAAACAAACAGCATGGAAACAAGCAAACATACAAAAGAACAAACAAACAAGCCAACGCAAAAGCAAACATTGGGATGTTAATAATTCCAAAGCAAATTGACTGCACTAAAATCATGAGTATGTTGCATATGTACACTAAATTTGATGAATTGTTGTAGTCATTGATTGCTTCAGGGTTTTTTTTCCAATATTTTAAAACAAATTTCTATTCTCATTACGATAATTAAACATATTTCTATTTATAATAAAATTGAAAAAACACTTGACAAACTCTAAAGTTTGATACTTTGTGTAGGATTTTATATAATGATGTGATTTTGAACTAGTGTTTGCATTTGGAAACTCTCATAGACATAAAAAAATATGAGACAACAAAAACATCAGTGTGTGTGTGTGTGTGTGTGTGTGTGTGTGTGTAGGTGTGTGTGTACGTGTGTGGGTGTCCGTGTGAATGTGTGTGTGACAATATTTGATGAAGCATGAAGAAAAATTTTAATACCAAAGTTGCTGAAACTGCTGCTGATGTATATGTATGTATGTTGTACAACAACCATTACGAATTTTACTACCACAGTTACTACTACTACTACTACGACTACGACGACGACGACACTACTACTACGACGACGACACTACTACTACTACTACTACTACTACGACGACGACACTACTACTACTAATACTAGTGTAGCGTGTGTAGTTGTTATATTTGTTTGTTGTAA